CTTGTCAACATTAAGCAATATGTACAAATTATAAAGACAAGTTATATGTGTCCTTACTGGATGTTTTTCTGTCATAAGTCCCTCTGTGTGCTAGATTCTTTAGTAAGTAGTGGAGATGTTGCATACCCACCTTTAAATAGATCACAACCTGGCAGGGGAGGCAAAAATGTGTATAAATGTGATTGGGTGTGATGGTTCATGCCTGTCATCTCAGCAATTTAAGAGGCCAAGGCAGGGGGATTGCTTGAGTCCAGGAGTTCAAGACTAGCCTGGGGAACAAAGTGAGACCCAATCTCTACAAATAATTTAAAAGTTAGCCACACTTGGTAGTACCTGCCCATAGTCCCAGCTACTCAGTAGGCTGAGGTGGAAGGATCTCTTCCACCCAGGAGTTGAAAGCTGTAGTGAGCTATGACTATGCCACTGTACTCTAGCCTGGGCAACGTAGCAAGACTCTGTCTCAAAAAAAAAAGTGCATGAACATAATATAGTATGAAAAACACTATAATGGTGCTTTGTGGGAGGGAAATTGAAGCAAGTGGAGGGAGAACTTAATTCTGCATGCAACTCAGTTGGGAGGGATCAGTTCTGCAATTTAAATAACCAAGAGAATTTACCAAATATCCACCATCTTTTATCTCATAAAATAAAAGCAATGATTGCAGAATTTGTACTTAGAGATGTTCTAACTCATGAATGACTACCCCAGATCTTTCACATGCAAAGATTTCCATTGAATATAAGGAAAATCTGGTTCTGAGAGAAAAATGTATCTGTTACGCAAAATTGAGGAAAGCATGTGACTCCGATCCTCCCATTTATTTGCACCCACTAATTTGTACTGGAAATGACTTGCCTACTAGCAAAACTACTCAGCTGTGTTCACAATTGGAGCTAAGACATATTTCAAATATAACCCACAAGAAGCAAGCCCTGTGTCTATTTTTGCTCACCATTATACCCATAGGAACTATAACAGCGTCTCATACATAGAAGATGCTCAATATAACCTATTGAATATACAAAACAAATGTTTAAGCATGTTGGTAGCTCCTCAAGATACTAAGTGGGTCATCAATGTGTTAAAAGGTTGAAACTAGACCTATTGTTTTTAGAACTAACCTAAACAAAATTAGTCATGCACAATCACTAGGTTATTTTGATAAATATAAATACTCCCTAATGAGAGGCAGATAAGGGCCATAGGTCTTCGTTCTCAAAATTTCTTAGTCTACCAGGTGTTCTAGTACAGTAACTATAAGTCTTAGACCAAATTCTGTAACACATTCAAACATATATTAGCAAGCAGGCACTAAAACAGTTAAGTCCCAGTTATCTGACCTCTTAGGAACTCCAACTATGACGTTCCATCAAAGATTCACTTGAGAGAATTGCAGCAGTATTCTGGCAGCAGGAGTTGGCTAAATTTCTAGACAGAAGCAGGTGGCAGAATCCTCAGTTAATGGCTACACATGGGACCAAATAGCGTTCTAGGCCTGGGATACCACCCTGATGGGTCTAGGCTAGGGTTTCTCAACCTTGGCACTACCAGTATTCTAGGGTGTATAATTCTTCAATGGGGATGAGTGATGAGATTTTATGCATTGTAGGGTTTTCCGCAACACCCTGGGTATCTACCCACTAGATGTCAGTAGCAGCCCCTCCCCCAAGTTGCAACATCCAAAAATGTCTCCAGACCTAAATATTTTGGGACAGGAGGTTGAGAGGCAAAATCTCCCTAGTCAAGAACCATTAGTCAAGCTGCCTGACTCACTGGAAATTTAGTCTCTTTTTACATTAAGTCAGTGGTGCCTATGCAACATTTCTAACCAATTCACACATCTTGAGCATTCTCATTCCACCAGTGAAGAATCATTTCTAACATTGTGTATGCTATAATTAGGACACCTACCAGTACTCATCATAAAGCAAGAGAGTGCTGCTAGTAGCAGGTGCCTCTGGAGAGTGCACTGCTGATTAGATTCTTTCAAATGCTAACTAAGTGCTTGTGGTGGGTGTATGCCTGATTAGAGTATTTCAAATGTTAACTAACCATCTTCTGACTTCAAATCAAATGAACATTTTTTCTCTAATTTTGACGCCAGGTTGGTAGTACACACAAGCACCTCAGAGAAGCAACCACTGGGAAGCTTAAGGCTAAACTCTCAGAAAAAAAGCGATAAAGCTGATAGCAATAATGCAAATACCTTAAACAACACAAGCTTACATGCTGTACCTACTGGGGGAACAGCTGAGATGTAGCATGCTCTACAGTTTCTCTCTAAGTTTTACCCAACAAAAATGATTTTAGTCAAGCTCAAGCATATTCATTATAGCAGGTGTTCATTTCAAAGAATGAATTATGGGCAAAAGTTTTGCAAGTATATAGAGTAAATATTTGGGTATTGAGATTTAAATTGTGCTAGATTCCTATATCCACATGGGGTATATTTACACATGAATTTGGTTAAATATCTTCCCAACACCAGTTTCCATGAGTCAGAGTTGAGAGTTGGTTTTAGATTATTTCAATTTTGAACTGAGTAAAAGTATGATTATGCTGACAAAAGACAGCTACACGCCATCCTGGACTGGATATTGTGGGGATGCCTTCTGCATACAAAAAAAAAAAAAAAAAAAAAAAAAAAAAAAAAAAAAAAAAAAAGACAGGGCAAAGCAAGTGAATCCAATGAAATAATTGCAGGCATATGGAGGTGTTTTGGACAAATTATACTCCTGGTCAGGGTGGCAGAGGATTCATGCCTGACACAGAAAGAAAAAGAGGGAATCAGAAAATGAGTCAAAAAAGCAAAGAGAGTAGTTGATACATTTGTCAAAGCAGATATCTCTTGCACACACTGTTCTGCCTCTCTGGACAGTGGACTTGAATCTGCTAATCTAATCAGTTAGGAACTGAAAGCATAAAAGGACGAGGTGACCCAGAGACCTTACCCCTAAAGATAACTGTGAATGCCAAGGACGGTGCCCACCTAGAAGGAGGTCCAGTTGAACCTCTCGGGAGAAACAGGAATAAATTCCACCCAATAATTAAACGTATCTACACACACCACCATTAATGTATACTGACTATTTAGGAGAGAGTAAGAGTTCTATGCCCCTGAGAGTACTCCAGGGAAAAAGACTAGGCACAAGTGTTGTTATAAACACAGATAGACAGCGTTATTTAGCCAGAAGTGTCAAAATCATTACTGTACTTGCAGTGTCAGCCCAAAACAATCACAAATAGCCCTTTTTGACTTCTCTATCACCTGCTGGTGAAATTTGGGATCAAACCTATGGATTAAACTGGGCAAGTCTGCACTTGAATCCAGTTAGCTTCCCTTCCTTACTAAAGAATCAGAGAACAGATACTGTCAAGAATACTAACAGAAGAGCACTACAACTGAACCAGAAAATCAGGAGAGATTGGCAGAGATCATATCGAAGCCCCATCAATCCACTGCTGTGTGAATTAAGTACTCAGGGAATCTGGAGGATACAAGATAGGATAATGTGGTTCCACTTAACATAAGGACAGAATAATTCTTCTGATGAGTCAGACCTGTGGGAGGGAATTTGTGTTGGATTTGAAAACTCCGTTGGAGTTTCTGCCAAGCAGCGTCCTATACTAAAAAGATATATAATTATGTAGAGTGACTAATTTACTTTTGCAGACCCCTTACATGTTATATGAAATAAAGTCTTCTATTTACCTGTTTGCCTATACCACTGGGACCATGTCTTACAGGACAGGGACTGTGTCATCTGCATTCTTTTGTCTCTGTAGTGTAACACAGCTTGAACACAATAAAGGTTTTCTGGGTGTTGGATATATAGGCAGGCAAGTCTTTATGCAGAAAAACCAATAGCATCTGCAAATGTGAGTATTCTCTTGTATGATTCCAGGCCATTTGTGAAACTTCAAATAAAACTGTCTTGAAAATGCATGGGAGTCACTTCTTCTATCCAGAAGTAATTTTTACCTGTTCCTTTTGTTACTTATATCTGTTTATTAGTAATTAAACTTATCAAAGATCCCTTAAATCTAGAAATGTAATATAATTGTAGATTCTTTCTACTTTATTAATAAAAAGACGTCTGAAATAATAAGCTGAGATTAATTATTTTCAACGGCTATATCATGATCTATGATCTAAAGTGAGCTTATATATTTTAAACAACCTAGTCGTAAATTTATTTTTCATTTACTTTTAACATATGTTTAAATATAACCCAAATGATTTATTTATTGCTAGATTACCAGATATGAAGATAATACCATGAGCTGACAACTTTCTAATCTAAAATGTGGATCATTTCTAGATAGAGTCTAAGTATGGTACTTTCCACAATGTATTTCTTGGTAAAGATTTAAGCAATTGTTGAAAATCTGTACTGTCTCCTTTCTAGTCCTCACAGCAACTCCTACATAGTGACTACTGCGTAGTACTCCTTTGTGTTAGCAGCTGGCTTCCTTATTTCAATATATTTTAAGAAACCTCCAAGTTGCAAACTAAAGCCCTATTAAGGTATTCCTCATATTCTTTTTGACTAATCTAAGATCTAGTTTCAACATGACTAACTTTTCTTTGTCATATACAAACCAGATATTAAATAATTACAAAACAAATTTCCAAAAGTAATTTATAAACGGTATTGGCATTTTTATAGGAACACTTCTTATAGAAAGATATTTAATTAGACACTTAGTCTTCTGACCTACAATATGTTAACTGCAGGCTTTTTTAAAAGTTGTTTTTAAACGGGTACATAGTCCAACTTAATTAATAATCTCATTTAGTACAGAGACCTACCAATCAATCAAAATAGATGTTGGTGGTCATAACACTGGACTAGGTCCTAAACTGCCCTTTCATGCTCCTCATTAATTGCTGGATCATGGGAGGTCTCGGCGAATACAGGCATTCAATGGAATGGTAGTGGGGTGCACTCAGGTGCTTGAGGCAAGGGCTATTTATCAACAGATTTTTTTTTTGAACTTAGAATGAAATGTAAATTTAATACAAATAGTCTATGTACAAGAGAAGGTAAAGTTTTAAATTCTCATATTATCAGAAACATCATAAAGAAAGCTAGATTTATATCACACTTCTATTCCTATGTGCATCTGAAGTATGTACAATAAAACACCAACACAGCTTTCATGTGTCAATATGGGAAGTGCAAGCAAGAATGACTTGAAGTTATCCAATAAAGCAATCCCTATAGACTCCAAAATCAGGCTAAAAATTATTGGAAACAGTTGACTGCATCCTTGCCAGTTCTCAAAGAAAAATGTCATCATTTTAAAAATAAGTGTCAAATTCATTGAAAAACTAAGTTGGGTTCTTTCATTAAACCTGAGAATAATGTAACATCAAGTATTTACTATTTTTACAAGAGAAATAAAATTGGCAGTTCCATTTTTACATTAGGAAAATGTAAGAGTATTTGAGGAACTGGGACAAAACATTTCAAACCTACAACCTAAAAATGAAGCAAGGGATACACAATGTCCCTCAGCACATTTCCTCACCAAATACAGAGAAATTTACCATTAGAATATTAGCTGTGTGTGTTAAGGGGGGAGGGGAAAGACATTAGGTCCCAGTCTATTGACAAGGACAAAATGGCTCTGAATAGGTCACCATCTTCAATTCTGAGTTAATCTCCTATTTAAGAATTCTCAAATGCTTAAAATGGTGGTCTTTCCAGCTACCCATCCTAAGAAGTCAAGTACAAGCATGCAAGTAAATTCACAGGCACAGAGGATCCATGTTAAAACAGTTAAGGTAGCTGTGATGCAACACCAACAATTTGAATGGCCCTGACACACTCAAAATATTATCTTAATTATTCAACAAAATCCTGAAGCAAACTCTTGCTAGTCTTGGTACACTGCTAAACACTAAAGTAGCATGTTTCTTCCATGGTTTTAGCTTAGCTCAAGGAATTTTTACACTATTAAGAAAAAAAATTAAAGTATTTCCCCTTTTTAAATTTACACAGACGTTTAATTAGCTTTATTTACAGAGCAGGGATTTTTTTTTTTTCAGTCTCCAATGGTGCCTAGATAACATCATTAGGCAAGAATGCCAGTTTAGAAGAAATCTATGCAGAATCCTAAAAATAACAGATGTTGGTGCTCCTCCAGAAGAGGCAAGCTTGACTATATCAGCAGCTCTTTATGCCTCAGTTACTCAGAAGCAATTCTGTTGCAGTCTCTACATCCCATGATTTTGAAGACAAGGCCACTATTACTGCATTCCTATCAAAGCCCATAGCACATAGGTTTTCTATTTTTTTGGTGTATTCTGGACTAAAAAACTGGTGCTCCAGCATACACATGTGCCCAAAGTCGAGCTGTCTGTTTGAACATTTCGGGATTTTGTTTGTACTGATTTGCTACTACGGCATCCTGTGGATCATCTGGTTCTGCAGCTGCCAATAGCGCTTGCAATGACAATAGTACCCTGCGGAGAGTCATTGCAGCTGCCCATTGATCTTTCAGGATATCCAAACAAATAGCCCCTGTGACGGAACTAATATTAGGATGCCATATTTTAGTGATAAACCAGACCTTAAGGGGATTAAATGGGTATGTTTCTGGTATTTTTATCTCTAGTTGATATCTTTCTCCTTCATATGGTGTGTCTGGAGGTCCTGCTATTTCTCCTCTTAATTCTGTAAAATTCTCATCTACAAGATCTACTTTAATTTGATTTTGCTCGTCTCCTCGCTCTTCAGCACCTCCTTGAACTCCCGCTTGATTCGCTGCACGCGATGTTGGCCATGTCTCCGCCCGCAGCTGATTCGTACCCGCCTCCTCTGCCACGGCTACTACCACCGCCACAGCCGCCACCTCTTCCTCGACCGCCTCCTCCCTCGGCGATTCAGACCCGAGCACATGAACACTGCCACTACCACCCCGGCCGCCGCGCTCTCCTCAGTGTGGAATCACCTCCGTGCCCGGCCACCAAAATCTATCAACAGATTTTTTAATAACAACTGCACATAGTTAGTGGTACACATTGGTATAAAATAAGCCCTATGGTAAGCCTTTTTGTTACACTGAGAGCATTTAACCTTAACAATTCATTTCAAGCCATCTCTGCCCTGGGCCCTGCCCTGGTCCAATTAGGCCTACCAATGACAAGAAGCCCCTCCAATGCAGAAGGTGACCTCAAGCCCAACCCACCTGTAGTACTACCCATCAGGCCTGCTAACCAAATATTTCTGTTGCTTTCCTCTTCCTACACTACCTGTTCTCTCACAGCTAGTTGTGATCCTGTGATTAGTAGTGGCATATGAGATGTGAATGGAAGTCATTCCAGGTGGAGATGTCATTCCAGGCAGAGGTATCATTCCAGGCAGAGGCTTTAAAAGCTAAAGCATGAGTTTACATACCCTTTTCTAAATTCCTTCATAACTGTGGAAACACAGGGATGGATTCTCCCTCAGTCATTAAGTAAGGACAATGTGGAGCACATCTCCAACGGATGGCCTCATGAAATAAGAGTAAGAAATAAACCTGCTTTTTAAGTCATTAAGATATTTAAGTTTGCTTGTTTCCACTAACCTGATGGCTACATAACCATACCAGTTACATAACATACAAAAAGTCATCCATCCATTGATCCAGAGTAAAGGGAGAACTTTCAAACCTCTCTGTTATCCCCTTCTAAATTTCACCAAAGCATCATAGTCAAATTGTGTCCCTGAGTATTCCACAAAACCAGAGCTGCTCACCAGGGGTGGAGTAAAAACAGAGGAAGGGGTAGCTTTGAATTAAATGTTAATGTGAACTGTACTTGTGATGGGAATTACATTTTAGAATCAAAATTCCAATTAAACACAACTGGACATACACACACTAAAACATCTCAAGGATGTCACATCTTCGAGCTCTCATATATTTTTAATGCTTCCAAGGCCTATCTGATTTGCAGACTTATCTCCTGTGACTTTCTCAATTAATGAGAAAGTCACTTAATGACATTTGACTTTATTACAATGACTGTGAAACATAGGTAAGAAATATAACTATAGCACTGTCACAGAAAGAATAAATTACTCTCCAAAGTATTTATTTGTTTGCTTGTTTTTAAGACAGAGTCTCACCCCGTCACCTAAGCTGGAGTGTAATGGCACTATCTTAGCTCACTGCAACCTCCTCCTCCTGGGTTCAAGTGATTCTCCTACCTCCTCCCAATCTCCTGAGTAGTTGGGATTACAGGCGCATGTCACCATGCCCAGCTAATTTTTTGTATCTTTAGTAGAGATAGGGTTTCACCATGTTGGCCAGGCTGGTCTCGAACTCCTGACCTCATGATCCACCCACCTTGGCCTCACAAAGTGCTAGGATTACAGGCATGAGCCACCGTGCCTGGCCTCCCCAAGGTATTTTATTTGCTAAATAATTGAATGAATGAAAAAAAACAGGGTTTGAATTTTCATTTATTTATTTAGCAAATATTTATAGCTACTGAGGATACAGCAATGAACAAAACAGACAAAAATCCATGCAGTGTGGATGTTACAATACAGAAAAAGAAGACAGGAAATAAACAAGTAAGTTTATTATGTATCATACCAGCAGGTCATAAATACCATGAAATTAATAAAACAAAAATTGTATATCTAAGTTTCAGGAGTGAAGATGTCTTGCATTTCTAAATATAGTGGAAAACGAAAGTATTCATGAGAAAATGGCTCTGAAGGAGTTAAAGGCCACATACTGACAGCAGAGGGGACGCTTTCCAGAAAAAAGGAAAAGCAAGTACAAAGGTGTCACCAAAATGCCAGGGGTTAATTCCATGCACTGCCATTTGGATATGCTGATAACAAAGCAAAACTCAGCACCTGAGCCACACAGAACTCCAAACCGTTCACCACTCGAGTAGAGCAGGAGAAACAAGGAAAAATGGGCTTCAAAATAGCAATAGAAAAAAAGTGACTTCAGAGAAGAAACCACCCTCCCCAAAACATCTCAAATATATATGCAAGGAAAGTAGAATGCATATAAACAAAATTACCCCAAGGCACAGTATTTCCTCTTTGCCACACTTTTCACCAAACTAATCTTCTTAACCAGTATCAACCGTCTGTAAATTTAAATTTCAACTCATCTTTCGTTTTTTTGAAATAGCAGATTTCAGAACGCTGGGATTAGTAGACTCTCAGAAAAGTATGCAATTTTAACCTTCTGCCTTAATTTATGACCTAAAATAATCCCAGAAAAACTGTCTTACTGGTAAAGATTTCAAAGATGGTGCTTTTGCAGTATCCTTTAGCAATTATTTCAACATTTAACTATTTACATTGCCAGGAAATAGATATTGAAGAAAGAATGAAGAAAAAAAATTATGTCTATTTGAAAGCAAAAGAATTGCAAAGCACAAAAATAAGCAAATAAAGAACAATGATATTTGAAAACTGATGACCAGCTTTAAATAACAAAGTTGAATATAAGTAAATGAAGATGTTTGGTCAAATCACTACTTTTCCCAAACAAGAACAGCTAGGCCAGCTGCTTCAACACTTTCCATGCCCTCCTGACAAAATCTCAACCTCAACACTGAACTCTGTCAAACCAACAGCTCCATTTTCTCCAGGTGCCCTAATCAGATGACAGTGTCAACTCAAATATGCTTTGCATCACAAAGGACTCCAGCCCAGTATTAATTTCATCCAAAACAAATACATACAATATTTTAATATTCAGAAAAATCAACAAATTAATCTGTCAAAATAATTTTATTTATAGAAAGGTTATATTCTTAATGAACATAATATTTAACAATTCAGTCCTTATGAATCATGTATTTAAGACTAATGAGGTTGCTTAGACAGAGATATCAATTTCACAGGTATTCAAGACAAAAAAATGAGTGAAGGAATTTCATGGATTAAAATAACTTTTCATAGACTATGGTTCAGAAACCGATTGGAGTAAAAAATAAACATGCTCTAATACCTAATTCTCATAAATCCAGCATATTTATTCTTCCAGTATGTAAGTTCTCATTACACAAATGCATCAGTAGAAATTTCTTTGGGTTTGAGCACCCAAGGCTATGACACTGAAATCTTCTGTTTGTGCAATCAAATGATATCCAACTATGAAAACAGGAAAAAAAATGATAACAAAAAACACCTTGTACAGTAAAGGCCTCATGTATTTCACTCCAATCTATATGTAAATTCATCATCTTGCAAGGCAAGAATGAAAGTGGCTTTCATGATACACCATTTTTCTTTTCATTGATGCCCCTATATGGGGAAAAGCAAAAAAGTAGGCACACATTTTCTGTTCCTATTTGTCAAAATGTCAACTGACTTATATAAAAACAAAGCAGGACCAATATGAATATTTACATAAAAATTAAATTGAACAGAAATGAGATTATTTTATAAAATTTTCCTCTAAGATGAATCATGTGCCTCTATTTGGGAGAGATGGGAAAAGCCACTTGCGAGATCAGCCTCCTCCATAAGCCACCAATCTTATTCATTTCTGCAGTTTTTTTATCTTTTCACGAGGCTGAAAGATAATAAAAGGTCATAGTCAAAAAATTTGACTATGAAGTTTTTACAGTGAATCTGAAGGACAAGAAATATTTTTAAATGCACAGCTTTGTGGTTATACAAATCTTACCTGAGAATTCCACATTTGAAATTTGTAACAAATTGGATAGTCCTGATTTAAATGTTACATAAAAGATTAAAGCATTTTTATCTCTGTTATCAGGGAAAAATATCATCCATGATACTATTTTTTATATTTGTCAAATTGTTTTTATGAGTTTTAAAAATTATATTATTGAAAAAAATTTTTAAGGATTCATTTATTTCTTCTGTGTATAAGTTCAAATAACATCATTAAATAGTGTTTTAATATACTTTGTTTTTAAATAGGGTTCCATTGAATGGTACAGTGGTAAAGTCTTAGTGAATAAAAGATCAAATATCTTCAGTTACTAAGATATCTTGAAGCAAAAACACACTATGGTTTTGAATCCTAACTGCAATACTTATTAGCTATGTCATTTTGAGAAATCATTTAACCATGAGTTTCCCAAACTGTATGCCAAGATAGTCCAAGGAGTGCCATGGGATATTTTAAGTTTTCAAGAGCAACACAGTGATAATCAACATTTTTCCAATACAGTGCAAACAGGGTCAACATTAGATCACACCACACTCCTTTCAATGACGGTATATTTTTGCAAAGCTGGGTTTTCAGAAATTCGTATAATAAGCAAGTACAACTTCAAATTCAATGTAAAACAAGAAATTGGGGTGGTGTTATCCCATATGATGTAAAGTTTGCAAAGCCATGCAGTGCCCGAAAGGCACATACATCCTGATAGTAATTGTGGTTATTTAAGAATGAAGTTAAAATATTAACTTTAGCTTCAAATTATGTATATTTTATTTTCAAGTGGCTACGAAGTTGTTAGAACCTAAGTACCTATTAAGATTTTAGAAATAATAACTTAGTAAAGGAAACTTTTAGGAGCACCATTAGGCAGAGTGGTATGAAAAATTCCTGAGATACTAAGAACACTGCACTGAAAAAGTTTGGGAACCCAGGACTATCTCTCTAAGATGCATTTTCTTTATCTGTAAAATAACATAATAGCTATTTCATAGACCTATTGTAAGAGGCAGAGTTTACAATGAATGTAAAAAATATCTAATATAAAGATCATATAAACTCTATAAATTTTAATTCTTTATCTTTTCAAATGACTTGATCTTTCATTTTTGCATATATAATATGAAAACATTTTTCTTTGCTACATTTATGTAAGTTATCACTTTATTACATAATATTTAAAGTAACCCGGCTTATGTATTTTTTTTTTTTTTTTTGAGACAGGGTTTCACTTTGTCTTGGCTAGGCTGGAGTCTAGTGGTGCAATCTCAGCTCACTGCAGCCTCC